TCCCTGTTGATGAGCCTCGCGGTCAGTCATTCATTTGTTGGCTGTCACGGTGACCTGCTGCCTTAAACATTCTCAGGCATTTCTCCTACATGTGGGCAATCCCCAGAATATACAATAGTGAGAATGATTAGGTCTTAGGAATGGGGTTCTTTAGCTAGCGAATGCAGTGTCATTTTCCAAAATAGATGTGATGGTTAATTTTAGGTATTAATTTGGAGGGTGGTTTGGGATAAGATTAACATTTAAAATGGTGAATTTTGAGTAAGCAGACTGGCCTACATAAGGTGGGTGGGCCTCATCCAATCAGCTGAAGGTCTGAATACAACAAAAAGACTGGCCTCCCTGGCCTCCTTTCCGCCTGCACCTACACCATCACTGGTTTTCCTGGGTCTGCAGCCTGCTGGCCCACACTGCAGTCTCCATGATCACATAAGCCAATTCCTCATGATAGATGTCTTTCTATACACAGACACATCCTATTGGTTCTGTTTCTCTGGAGAACTCTGAATATTACCAATACCAATAATACAGTAGATCCATCAACTTACACTCCTACTAGCAGTGGGTAAGTGTTCCAATCCATAAAATAATAGTTGTTCACCCTGCCCCTTAAACTCTTCCCCTTCTGTAAGGATGCAACTAGTTTAATCTTCTAGGTGGTGAAAAAAAGTGGTCATTATGTGTCTCCATCTGAAAACATTCAGAGACTTCCCACAGTCTACACTGCAGGGTCAAGTTCCAACCCCATTGGGCTCAGCAACATTGGGCCGTCCCACCTTTCCAAGTTCTTCTCTGACATTCTCTTGCCCCATGGGCTTCGACTTCTTTTTTAAACATAGGATCTACTGTATAAAACCTTACTTGGGGCCCCAGAGCACCTCTGCTGTAAGAGCAGAGAGAGGGTCCCACTGTCACAGTTTCTTCCTCACCCTCAAGGCTGCCTCTCAGGCAGTGAGGGGCCCCGGAGCCCGGGTGAGACCTACCCCTCCTGGAGCTCCGTGCTCCAGGCACACCATCCAGTCTCTGTCCCCTGCGTGAACCAACTTCCTCATGCCTTCTCCACACCTCCAGTACCCCTGGAGACGCCCTTTTCTCTTCTTCCCTCACACCCGTCTCTCGATGCTAAAAAATTCCTGGTACAAACTATTATGTATTAAATAAGCTACAAGGATATATTGTACAACACGGGGAATATAGCCAATATTCAATAATGACCATAAATGGAGTATAAGCTTTAAAAATTGTGAATCGCCACATTGTACACCCGTAACTTATATAATACTGCACAGCAACTCTACTTCATTTTTTTTTTTTTAATTGTTCACATTCACCCTGCTGGTGTCAAGCTCCCCTCCCTCTCATTTCTGGCTCTTTGGAAACACCAGCTGGTGTCATCCTGGTGCCACGGCTCAGCAGCTCAGCAACCTTCAGTTGGTTAATGACCCTGAACTTCAGTTTCCTCAGCTATATAATGTGAGCACGCTCATCTCCCGCCTGGTGTTTCACAAGCATTAAACGAGAGGACAGGCATTTACTTCACACACAGTAGGCACCTAATCAGAGTTAGCGAGCAGAGTCTTGGGGGTGCATCATACATTTGGGGGGACATTTCCATAAATATAACTACATTTGCCATAAGTGACTAGTAAAGCCAGAGACACATGGGTTACGGTAATTTTCTCCACAACCCCACTTCCACCGCAAACTCTGCCATGAAAGGGCTGCCTTTGAAATGTCACCTCTCGAGTCGCCTCAGCTATTTTTCCATGAGGCAATGAAATAAATGCAGCCACTCTTGCCATTAAATGCTCTAAATCAGTTACTGATTAAGAAATGCCTGTTCTGAAGGTAACTCATGTTTTAACATAATTTTGCATTAACAATATCATTTATCCAGAATAAGACATCCAATTTGCTCTTCAACTCTGGGCTGAAAGCTCAAGGGGGAGGGAGGCCAAAAGGACAAGCAATGATGGATGTCTCCTCGTTCAAGGGCCCCGCCGGCTCCTATGCCCCCCAAGCCGGCACTTTCCATCCTGTAATTGCAGCTCTATCCAGTGGACACAAACGAAGTCTGAGAACTTGAGCAGATCACTGGACCTTACTTCCCTTCAGTGTTCTCACTCGAAAATCAAGGTTACGTCCACAGTCAAGTGTGCAGGGGGCGTTAAACGAGAAGACATGGGTAAGGTACTGATCAAGTTCCTCACACATCATCAGCTTTCAGTGAACAGGAGAAATCAGTATATTTAGAGAGCATGTGGCTCAATTCCTTCACCTTTTTGAAGATCTTAACGATCTATTATACAGATTAAGATTTCCGGATTCCAAGTCCAATCTTTCACTGTTAGATAGATCATCAACTCCCCCTTTATGTTACACAAGCATGTGATATTTGTAGATCCTAATATGTTGTTGATAAAGCACACATGGAAGAAGTTAAGTATATTGAAGGTTAATTTAGTATATTTAAGGTTAAGTATATTTAATGTAAATACAGCTACTATATTTTATAAATTCACTATCATTCTTAGTTTTAAAAAAATATGAAGCTCTCCAAATCTCAAAAGTGAATGAAATACTCTCACTGGCTGGTTAATGCAATCTATTCTTTAAAAATATAAATGATCAAAAACAACAGCAAAATATGTTGAATACCATCAGATTCTAATCTGAACTAGATGGAGAGTTGGCCGCCCCTTTCTTGGTGACTGACTGAAAATCTCACCACTGTTTTTGAAAAAGCCCCATGAGGCAGAGATCTCCCTTTTCCTGTCCTCAAAATAATAACAGGAGAAATAAATCTGGATGATAAAATTAAGGAAATATTGCCAAAATCATTCATACATGATGCTAAAAATCCTACTTTGGTGTGGCGACCGTAATTTAGTTCTCAATAATGTAGTGCTACCCTCTATCCTAAACCTTCACAAGAGGTCAAGCTACCTGTTTTTGTTTTGTTTTGCTTTTAATAAAAATTGCATATGTTTAGGGCATATACAACAAAATGATAGGTGGAATGATTACTATAGTCAAGCTAATTTACACATCTTCTCCCCATATAGTTACCATTTTTCGGTGATAAGAGCACCTGAAATCTACTCTCTTAGCAAATTTCCAGTGTTCAAGACAATGATATTAACTATCATTAATGTCTTCATGCTGTACGTTGGGTCTCTAGACTTGTTCATCCCGCATAACTTCAACTGTGTACTCTGACCAACATCTATCTCCCCCGTTCCCCACCTCCCCACCCTGGTAACCACCATTCTACCTGTTTTCTTTTTTTCCTTCTTTTTTTTTTTAATTGGGGTATAGTTGTTTTACAATGTTTTGTTAGTTTCTACTGTACAGTGCAGTTCCTTGTGCTATATAGCAGGTTCTTATTAGTTATCTATCTTGTACATATTAGTGTATATATGTACAATATCTTCTTTAGCCATTCCTCTGTTGATGGACATTTTTGTTTTTTTAATATTTTAATTTTATTGGAGTATAGTTGATTTACAATGTTGTGTTAGTTTCAGGTGTACCTGTTTTCAGTTGGTTGTTCTTTACGGAAATCGGAATAACCTGATTTGGGATCCAAACTACAAAAGCTCACCACACGAGGCAGGGCGGGGAAGGGCATGTATTTCTGGCCATGGTGGCTCAGGCCATGTGTCAAACAGCTCACCCCTAAGACCCTTCCTATCCTCTCCGTCACTTGCATGGCTAATCAGAGTGGACTATACACTGAAGACTTGCAAACAGCATTTAACAGGTGGCTGCACACAACAGCAAATGAGATCTTGCGTGGCAAAATGGAGTCTGTAATAAGTAAGTATTTAACTAAAGAGATTTTGCTAATTGACACTCTGTAAGCCTCACCCATATACACAGAATTATTATTGAGCTTAGCTACACCTAAACAGAAAGGGAAAACCAACACATGGGAATTTTTCTTACTTCCTGACCATTAGATATTCCTTATATAGTACTTTAAATTGTTCTTTTATAATACGGATTTCTTAAAAAGAAAGCACTATATCAGGTGGTATATGATGTGCTCTGCTGGATGTCTATTTGGGATATAATTTGAGGGACATCAGACAAGAAACACACAGTCCCAAATTATTTCCTTCCCTAGATTATCTCTGACAACTAAAAATTTCATCACTAGTCATTTTGTATCAAAAGCCTAGGAAATAATAACAGTGACAGTAATAATAATACCTACCATTCCCCGACTACCATGGGCCAAGTTCCTTACATATATGATCTCTAAACCATTCAACAAAGAGAATGGTATTATTAACTCAATTTACTATTCAGGAACCTGAGATTAAGAGGGACTGAGCAGCTAATATAAGGTTATAAAGGAAGTAAAGGCTATAAAACCCAAGTTTTTCCAACATACCACACCCAATCCATGTGGCTATTACTTGTAGGAGTAACTAAGCTTCAAACTACAATCACTGGTAGACACGGCAGGAAATACTTCAAGAGATCATTCGATTCTTTCTGAGATGACAGCTTGCAATTTCTGAAGCATCTTCTCTAGTGAAACTTGGATGAAGCTAAAAACAGAGTCAGTGCTTGAACTCTGCCTAGGATTCACTAATAAGCCCAGATTTGGTGTTACAGAAAGGACTCTGAACAAGCAGGGTTGGAAGCAAAAGGAAATGAGACTACGTCAAAGGAGGTGTCTGACCTCTGAACCCAAACATTGCCAACATCAGCTTAATCTAGGTTCAAGTTCTCATTAAGACAAGATAAAACCTGTGCTTTCTCCCATGACATTCGAATTCATGAGACGCTTCTTCTATTCAGAAATGATAGCACATTAAGAAAAATGGAACTGATTTACAGTATTATTTCTTTGAAACAATAATATAGAATCTAGAAATGGAATTGGAAAATGGCACAAAAATATGATAAAGCATTTCACAGTTTCTACTTGGTCTTTACAGAAACAAATATTGTAGATGGGTAAAAAGGTAAATAAAAATTTCACTTACCTGATGGAACCACCTGTATCACCTTTTCCCAGGTTCCATGTGGGAAAGTATGAAGAAAGCAGGAATAGAAGCCAATGTCCACCTCAGAGGCATTATGGAAGGACAAGGTCATATCGTTAGAGGCCGTGGTTGAATTGGAAAAGTAAACCCTATCAACGTACGGCTCTCTTATGATCACACGGTAAGTAGGGTTGAAAATGGCTATGGACTCTCTCTCCAGTGTCTTGATCTTGAACCACTCCATCTGGGTTAAAGTGTCCTTTGATGGATACACACATTCTAGGGCCATATTCTTAGCAAGTTTAACAGTTGTGTCCCAAAATATCTGTTCACATCCAGCTGAAAGACACACCATCATGTGATCATGTGAATTCAATTAGACCTGATGATTGAAACACCAAACAGACATCTGAAGCTTACTCTAGACCTAGCAAGATAGTAAAATTGAGGCTAACAGTTTCTACCTTAGTCTAAAAAGGTTTCCACTGCTGATAATTGGTATTTACAACTTGTAGCTTTTCTGAACAAGTGAGAAATTATCTAAACCAACTAAGGGCATTATAAATTCTGAACATGTCACACTATAAGACTAAAAAAGGAGTAAATTCTTTAAATGAAGACATTATCTTTACCTTTGTATACATAAAGAATAGCCAAGAGGAAAGTAAGGTAATCCATCTCTGGAACCTGTTTGGGAGGCCAGTCTACAGAAAGACAATTTATAATGTCACATTGAGAGCCCCAGCACGATGCACTGTTTCCTTCCTCTCAGATCCTATCAGCAGTGTCTTCTTTATCTGAAGTATGAACACAGGAAAAAGGTCTTAGCTTCAAAGTCAGGTTTGCTCTCGTACAAAGATGGGCAGATTTGAGTTACTTCTCTCTCGGGGAAATAGCTTATTTTCAAGCTTTCATTTTCTACAAAGATTCATTCATTCGAACAAACATTCTCTGAGTGCCTGCTCTGGGCCCAACTCTGCTCTAGGTGATGAGGATACAGCAATTAATTAAAAAAATATATCCTTGCCATAATGGAACTTACATTCTAGTGGGAGGAGGCAGAAAATAAAATAGAGAAGGACAAAATAGAGTTAGGTGGTAAGTGCATGAAGAAAAACAAAGCAGGACCGGGATGGCGTGGTAGTGTTCCCCCATGGATAGGAGGGCTGGGAAGTCTGCACTGAGAATGTGAGATTGGGGCAGAGTCTACAGGGCACAGGAAGGGGCCTGCAGCTCCACCAGCATGGACGGCCCATGGGGCATGGCCTTCCTATCCCCTCTGCCTCTTCGCTGACCTCAGGCATTTGCTTAGGGAGTGATGAAGGGACCGCTGAAGGCCCTCCAGATTCCAAAGTATCGTGGCTCAGGGAATATACAAATCCACAATTATCATTGATTTTTTAAAACTTTTTATTTTGAAATAATTGTACAGTCACAGGAATTTGCAGAAATACTGCAGAGAGGATCTGTGTACCCTTCACCTAATTTCCCCCATGGTTCTGTCTTATATAATCTTAGTAGGTACGTCATTGCTCCCTTCCCTCTCTTATAAAATAACAGTTCAGTTGCCTAAGAACTTGCTGGGAACGTATAACCACGTCAGCATAAAAATATATTATTGCCTCTGTAACAAGAGGCAACAATGCAAGAATGCATCTGACCCCTGATGAGAGGTTCAAAATAAAAGAGGGTAAAAATTGAGAAAAGCGGGGGCAGGCACCACTAAAGACAACTTTGCCTGATGCTGACTCTGAGCCTATGTGATTCCATCCCAAAGTTCACCAGCAGGTGTCTTCTCCTTAACATCAGTATCTAATGTGGGAACTTTCTCAGGAAACATGAAATCAAATATGAAATAAAAAATGTAATGATAATCAGAACAAAATTATAATGTGTCCATATGATAACATATAGTGCTGCCTTATGGTTACAGAACATTCTATTTTCCAAAACCTTTCACATCTATATTATCTGTGCCTATAACAGCTCTGTGATATAGTCAGATGAAGTAACTCTCATCTCTGTCTTGTAAGTAATTTAATGAAGCAATTTGATGAAAATTTTACTGAGCTCTACCAGGTACCCTGCTTAGGTCCTGGAGACACAAGCATGAGAAAGACACAGTCTCTGCCCTCTAGTCATGCATAACGTATTGGGTCAGATAGATTAAAGGAGCAATTCATTATAATAAAACTAGATCATTTCTTTGATCAAGTTTTACAACATCCCAGAGAGGAACAATTCATTCTAACAGATTTGGGGAACATTTTGTAAAAAAAAAAAAAAAAAAGGCAAGTGTACCACATCCTGGGCCTTCCAACCTGAATGAGACATTCCAAGTAGACAAATAAGAAGAGGAGATAAAGGTGCAAAACACGGGGCATTTTCAGGAAATGATGTGATTACCATCTAGTGGGTGGGAGGGGACAAAAATGAAATTGGGTCTTGTTTGAAATTGTCTTGAATGACATCCATAAGGGAGTTCAAACTTGACATCTTTTTTTTTTTTTTTTTTTTTTGCGGTACGCGGGCCTCTCACTGCTGTGGCCTCTCCCGTTGCGGAGCACAGGCTCCGGACGCGCAGGCTCAGCGGCCATGGCTCAAGGGCCCAGCCGCTCCGCGGCATGTGGGATCTTCCCGGACCGGGGCATGAACCCGTGTCCCCTGCATCGGCAGGCAGACTCTCAACCACTGCACCACCAGGGAAGCCCCGAAACTTGACATCTTGCTTACATCTGTCACTCCAGCACCAAACACGATTCCTGGGACATGTGTCTATGGCATAAACAATAACAGCTCTAGGAGGAACTTGTTTTTAAAAATCATTGTAGCTGGAGCCATTGAGAGGAGATGGGGACAGACAATGACAAGAGATTAGACTGTGTAGATAGATAGGATGAAGATTTTCTGATACAATTCTAAGAGCAAGTGGATGCTGTTGGCGGCTTTTAGGCACCAGAATTACATGACCTGATTTAAATTCTTAGAAAGAGAGCTGAGCATCACCCATTTCCCTCTCCTCACTCCTAACAAAAACCTGTTTTGGTTTGGGCATCCATTTCTCCCACACCACCGGGATATTATGACAAATCTGAGCTATTCCACTGACAACTATGACTAATTCGGGGGCTGGAGGTGGAGAAGCCAAGCGTGGACTGAGTAGATCCAATCAGAGTCAAGGAAATTATATTTCACGTCAGAAAGACAGAAAGACCCTCAGTGAATGCCTGCCCCCCGCACTGGGAGTAAGGACTCAGGAATGTGGGAGGATTACTGGAAAACAGGTGCTCATTGATAATAACTAGTAGTAACCCCTTCATTCGCAAGGCACCGAAGTCAGCGTAGCTAAACGATGAAGAAAGCAGAAGGGCACTTGCATTCTGATATGTCTAAACTCAAAGGACCTAGAGGTCTCGGATGTGAACGAAAGGTGCAGAAAGACACTGGACTGAAGATAAAGTTCAGCTGTTACAACTTTGCTAAGGATGAGCCCTATTTATCAACGTCTAACCAAAGGCAAACAGAGACTGGCCCGGAGCTATTTTTGTTGTGTAGGCAGACATTTTTTGCATGATTTATGAAGGGATTTTGGCTCAAGGTTTTTCTTCTATTAGAGCTGTCTGTATAAAAGAGCTTCATCCTCAAGGATGACATTAATCAAGATATTCCTGGATTTCTCTACTGTTAATACGTCTCAGCAAACCTCAGAAGTGACTTTGCTCACAAGTTCATCTGGGTTGGGTGCCCCTAGGTGGCCTGGGCTGGGTGCCCCTCTTCAGACCTGTTGCTTCCTCTGCTGGCTGTCCTTGCAGACCTTCCCCACCTCCTCAGACGCACTGCTCTGCCCTCTGTGAGATGTTCTGCTTTCCCGGATGCCGGGGCCCTTTCTGAAACTCGGAGGATCCTAGTCTCCACTCGGTTCCCCAAGCCAGCATTCCCCAGCCCGCGCTGAGACTCCTGCTGTGTCTGGGAGCCCGCTCCTGCTCCCACATCTTTCCTCCCTAGCTTGGACAACTGTCCACATGCTGGGGAGCCGAGGCCTGTGAAAGAGAAAATCTGGGCTAAGCCCTGAGAACAAGCCGCTGGGCTGGCAGGGTCACAGATGTGTGGTCCTTAGTCCCCTCCCTTGTTTTTAGAGGCAGACCTGATGGTGCCCGTGGCTGGGAGGTCTGGGCTGCTCAGAGGCTCCTGCTTCCAGGGGGTGCAGGTGGTCCAGGTTTCCACTCCCTGCCTCACAGCATCTTCTTAAGAGAATCTTTCCAACCAGGGCCTGTGGCGAGTCACAGACCTGCCCCCAGGACAGGTTCCACTGCCGCTGAGGGGCCATAAAAACTTACTTCCATTCAAAGCAGAGATTTTAGTTCAGCCTCAGGGGGATCCTCCAGAAGAAGCCAGCCCACTGTGCCATTGCTGGAAGTAGTTTGGCTGGAACTCAGACATGCCCGTCTGTCTATGTGTCTACGGCTGTTTCCGTGCCACTATGAGTAGCTGCAGCAGGGACCGCGTGGCCCGCAGAGCCATAACTTTCTGGCCCTTTGCAGAAAAGTTCACCAGCCCTTGCTTAGGGTTATTTATACCTGGAGAGCGAACCTTTATTATTGAAGTTCATCCCTGCTCAGGCTTACTTGAAGGAAGGTAGTTTAAGCCTGATAGCCCGACACTGGTAAAAGAGCTAAATTTTCTTATTCTCAAGACCCAAACTACCAGATTTTCCCAGGAACAGACTGAGAAAAAGGACTTTATGCAACACCCTTTTACTATACTATGCCCATCAGTAAACGTACAGGTTCACAGAGATCAACCATTCTGCGAATTAATTAAAGCTATTCCCCGCAGCTCTCCTCCTGCTTTCCCTACTGGTCATCCTCCTGTATCCACAGCCCGACTCCCTGCCCACTAATAATTTTAAAAGTGTGAACGTGGTCACACCCAGTCTTTTTTCTAGAAGGTTACTGACCTTGAGATGTGAGCGCCCTGCTCGCTCTGACTCTTCTTTCCCGGTATGTGTCTTGGTTAAGGGCTTCCTGTTTACCATGGCCTCTTGGCCTCACCCCCTTTTGGTCAAGGCCATCTCCCCGGCTGTGCTCATCCCCTAGTTTGCATCTTGGGAGCAGCTGGGGGCGTTCGTCCTATGCCCTCTCCACCAGAGCTCCCTCAGGTTGGAGCTGAAGTAAATCACTAATATTTCACTAAGGAGGATTAAAACCAGTCAAGAAGTGTCCCTGCTTCTGGAAGCATCTTTACCGTTTTAGCTTCTCAGACTCATTCCCAACTCAGATATACTTCTGTCCTTCTCTTTGCCCCACCTAAGCTTCTACAGTCTGAAAGGATATACTTTCACTGTGAATGTTCTAACTCTGAACTGAAACTACACACAAAAAACTTGAAATTGTTTACTTTGTCTTTTCTTCCCCATCTGCTTTCCTGCCAATCAAAGCACTTCAGAGTCAGAAGTCTCTGAAGTGCAGGAAGCTTATCTCTGCCCATATCTCAGGGCATTTGAATCCTACCTCCTAGATACTCTTTTCGGTGTTGTTTTCTGACTCTCTGATTCTCTGACACAAAAAGCACACAAAGTTGGTGGTTTCCTAAGAACCGTCTCCACAAGTCTATCAGCTTCTTTGTCCCAGACATGAAATAGTTTCTAGGTTGTTCCAGAGGACAGCAGAGTTAGTTTTACTCATCCTTTTGATGTACTAGGGAATGGAGGTTAAACCACCATGAAGGGCTGTGGCTGAAGTTGAGTTCATGCAATTCGTGGAAATACTGGGGAGAAAAGATGGCATCTGACAGAAGAGAAGCCACTTGCTGGGGGCTAACCTGCCCCAAACACTGACCGACAGGTCACACACTCGGGCTGGCCTCTTCTGCACACTGTGTATGCCTGAAAGCATGCAAAAGACCTTGAAGTGCTGCCTTGCATCACACAAATATCTTTTGAGCACTTAATTGTGGGACAGAGGAAGCTTCCTAAAACACCTGCTTGACTTGTGTCACTCTCTTCAAGGCCTCACTGTCCTCAAAAGAATATCCAACTTCTTACCGACTTACGAGGCCAGATACACTTGAACTCTGCTGTTTTTTCCTGTCTTACATCTTACATCTTTGCTCACTCCCTTCCTTCACTCCAGACCCACCTAATAGTTTGGGCTTAAAGGTGCTGCTTACCTAAAAAATGAAGGTGGTTTACTGATCTCATGCAGCCCAGAGAGCAGCTCTGAATGGAAACCAGGATCCCTTCAAAGATTTCAAAACAAATGCACCTCTGCTGGGACCAGAGGGGGATCTGCTCCGTTCCTTCGTAACAGCAAGAATATCTGCACAGGCATTGCCATTCTGATACAATCAGGCTTGACATAATAATAAGCAACAAACCATGCAGGAAACCAATACAGAACTTTTTCATCAGAGTTCCCTCTGGCTAAAGAGTGAGTTAGTGAAAGAAGTAACCAGATCTGTGGCGGAAGCTCGGCTCATGCAAGAAGTCAGTCAACCTCACTGAGGAATAATATCAAGGATATGGCTGAGCAAAGGGAAGAGGCCTCCTGGAGGAGAAGAAGTTGCTCTGAGCAACTGCGAGACATGAAATACTCTCTTACTTCACTAAAAGGGCTTTCTTTGTCTTATGGGAATGGTTTACCATCTTTTCAACACTAACATCTAAACTCCTGTGTCACCCAATGCTCTAGTCGGTCAGGATTGGGTAGATGTTTCACATACGTGTAAAATGTTTTCCCGTAATTAAGTTGCATCAAATAAAGTGTAATTAGGTCTCATGGAAAACGGTTTTTCAGAAATGAGTAGACAGTGAATGGTGGCTCTGCAAGTCAGGTTGTCAGCCTCTTTTTAATAAACCCAGAATTAATTTGGGTTTAAAAAAACAGAATTACCGATGTTCAGCATATGACAACAGTGACACTTCAGCACAGCAGGGAAAGAACTCGTTGTCTACTGTAGGGTGTTAGTGAAAGGGACTGCCTATTGGGAAAAGCTGCAGTCGGCATCCACCCCCGGGGCAGCAGGACCTCCCCACGCCCACCAGAGGGCCCGCACAGCTAGTGCCTGGGTGGGGGACCTAGACTCTTGCCAACACATTTATTCCATCGGAATCCAAATCCAAAGCTTGAGGATTCAAAGCAGGGGATCAGCAGGGCCCCAGGGCCCATTCTGGCCAGACGGCAGCAGGGCTGCGGCCCTACCAATGCCCAAGACAGCAGCACACAGGCTCTGCCAGCAGCAGGGGAGCTGGGTGTCCCCGTGGAGTGGCGGCAGGGCCTGTGCCGGATGCAGGGGTGTCTTCGCAGGCCTGCGGGGGTGGCCCTGGGGGAACTGTGGCCGGCCTAGTGGCACGGAGCCGGTGCCCCCCAACTCACACCCATTCGTTCTGTGACCTGCTCCGCGTCCCCGTCCCTTCAAGTTGCTTCCTTCTCACCTTAGACAGAAGTACTTTGGAAAGGTACAACTAAGGACCCTGATCACTACACTCAACTGTCACAGCAGCACACATTTCTAAGGTATTAATAATTTGAAAAAGAAAAATATTCTAAACAAGGGGAGAATATATTTTATAAGCTTGAGGGTAGAGATGGATTTTTGGTTTTGAGATTAAATACATACAGAATATGTATATATATAAATATATTAAGGGACACATTTTAAGATGTGCATATATATATGTGTGTGTATATATATATATATAAAATGCCAAAGCCAGGGAAAATGTGACAGCTTTTCCTACATAAAAACTTAAAACTCTGGCGTGACAAATATCACACACTAACAAAGCAAAAGGCAGGACAGTCGGGAGAGGGATGACATAGAAGTACAGTATTTTCTAAGTGCAAAGTACTTAAATATCAATGACAGAAAGAAATCCCACAAATGTCCCAATAGAAAACAGGCAATGGATGCTAAACATCAATTCACATAAGAAGCACTACAGATAGAAAAATGTAAAAAGCTATTTGATCTCACCAGTTGTAATAAATGAAATGAATGAATAAATAAAAATGAAAACAATGACAAATTAATTTTTGCATGTCAAATATGTAAATATACAAATGAAAAGAACGATAGTGACCACTGTTAACAAGAGCAGATGGAAACACAAATGCCATATGCTGTGAGTGCAAATGCACACAGGTACACATTTTCTACGCAGAAGAGTTGAGATCTGACTTATTGTATCCTCTGACCCAGCAAGGTCACCACAAGATAGTTATCTTAAAGAATAATAAATTTAGCAAAGATCTGTGTTTAAAAATGGAAATGTTTATTACAGCATTATTTCTATTAATGAAAACAGGATACAATCTGCATGCCTTTCTCTAGTGGACTGGCTCAATTAATTGTGCTAAGTCCATAGGCTGGGATGCTCTGCGGCTCTTTAATGGTTATGCAGATCTATATTTAGACATGCAAAATGTCTGTAATATACCAAGTGAAGAACTTTTTTCAACACACGTCCACTCATAAAAATAAGACAGCAAATGAGCCATTCTGAAAAGTTCTACCCAGACTGGGAGCCCTCACCCTCTCCTCACCTGGTGTGGCATTGCTGGGCCCAGCAGGCAGCACCCAGGACTCCACTGGCCACTGTCTTCTTCTTCCTCCTCTGTTTATCAACCTTCCCTCTCCTGATGGTCTCAAGGTTTCAAGGAAATAAATACTTGCACACACACTTTCAGGACTCCTGCCCTGAGTATCAGGCCCGGGTAAGTACTAAGTTCTTCTTTGGGAATTGGTTCTAAAGACCCCAGGAAGCAGCAGACAGCCACTGTCCATGGACGGATGGGGACTTGCAGATATTCACTATCTCTTCTCTGCAGCCATCCCCTGACAGAGCTCATTCCTTTCTCCTCTGCATCCCACATTACTCTGTGCTGCTGCTATGTGATAACACTCCCCCTGCATTATGGTTAGTCAGTGAGAGAGAGTGAGAGTTACTCCCCTATAAACAAGAGTATGGGCTTTGCAAAGAGACTTATGTTCAAATCCTGATCCATCTTGGACTAGCCGTGGGGCCTCCAGCTCCCAGGACTTTGATGACAGGAAAGACCCTGCCAGCCCCAGGGGAGCAGCCAGGCTGGCAAACCCCACCCTCATGTTATCCCAGCCAAGTGCCCTCCACCCAGATGGGGAATTTCAGACAAAGCTCTGAATATTTTATTCGGCCTCTTATACTCTCAATACTGCTGCATCCCAGGTACTTTAAAGAAATTTTTTACTTTCCAAAACAGCACTAAACATACATGTGCTAGGATACAAAATTAATATACAGAAATATGTTGCATTTAATAATGAACTATCAGAAAGAGAAATTAAGAAAACAAACCCATTTACAATCGCATAGAAAAGAATAAATTACCTAGGAATAAACCTACCTAAGGAGGTAAAATATCTGTACTCAGAAAATGATAAGACCCTGATGAAAGAAATTGAAGATGTCACAAACAGATAGAAAGATATACTGTGTTTGTGGATTGGAATAATAATATTGTTAAAATGACCATACTATTCAAGGAAATCTACAGATTCAATCTAATCCATATCAAAATACTAAGCATAGGGCTTCCCTGGTGGCGCAGCGGTTGAGAGTCCGCCTGCCGATGCAGGGGACATGGGTTCGTGTCCCGGTCCAGGAAGATCCCACATGCCGCGGAGCAGCTGGGCCTGTGAGCCATGGCCGCTGAGCCTGTGCGTCCGGAGCCTGTGCTCCGCAACGGGAGAGGCCACAACAGTGAGAGGCGCATGTACCGCCAAAAAAAATAAATTAAAAAAAAAATACCAAGCGTATTTTTCTCAGAACAAGAAGAAATAATCCTACAATTTGTATAGAAACACAAAAGACCCCAAATAGCCAAAACAATCTTGAGAAAGAAGAATAGAGCTGGAGGTATTACACTCCCTGACTTCAGACTATACTACAATATACTACTAAAGCTACAGTAATCAAAACAGTATGATATTGGCACAGAAACAGACACATAGCTCAATGGAACAGAATAGAGAACCCAGAAATAAACCCATGCACTTATGGTCATTTAATCTACGACAAGGAGACAAGAATATTCAATGGAGAAGAGACAGTCTCTTCAATAAGTGGTGCTGGGAAATCTGGATAGCTACATGTAAAAGAATGAAATTAGAACACCATACACAAAAATAAACTAAAAATGGATTAAAGACCTAAATATATGAGGAAAACATATGCAGAACACTCTTTGATATAAATTGTAGCAATATTTTTGGGGATCTGTCTCCTAAAGCAAAGGAAATAAAAGCAAAAATAAACAAATGGGACCTAATTAGACTTAAAAGCTTTTGTACAGCAAAGGAAACCATCCACAAAAAGAAAAGACAATCTACAGACTAGGAGAAAATATTTGCTAATGATATGACCAATAAGGGATTAATATCTAGCATATATAAACAGTTTATATAACTCAAGAAAACAAACAACCTGAATTTTAAAAAATGGGCAGAAGACTTGAATAGATGTTTCTCCAAAGAATACAATGCTCAACATTGCTAATCATCAGGGAAATGCAAATCAAAACCACAATGAGATGTTACCTCACACCTGTCAGAATGGCCATCATGAAAAGAACATAAATAACAAAGGTTGGCAAGGATGTGGAAAAAAGGGAACCCTTGCACACT